TTGGTATTTATTCCTCCATAACTTTTGGAAAGCTCCAATGTTCCCTCGTACATCTTGTATCCTTTTGTTGAAATGATGTGGATGCATATTTTATGTAGATAGCCCTTCTGCGTAGCGATTGTGACCAGAGAAAAAGAAAGGAAGTAGAGAGAGATAGAGAGAGAGAGAGAGATGCAGAGAGGGATATTGTTATTGTGGTTTGGATTAAGTGGAGGTGAATGAACAAAAATGTCACTAAAAAAAAAGTACGTGCGTGATTAAATTAATAGAAATTGTGACAAAAGAAGATGGTAAAGGGCAAATAAGAACTTCTCAAAAGCTCATGTTGATCAAACAAATAATTGAAGCCCAACATCGCTTGTATAAAAGAATAATTGAAGGGCACAATGTGAAACGAAGACCATAATTTACAGCTATTCCTTTAATCATGCCCTTGCTGAACGGCAAGGGCCATACAAAAGAAAAGGCTTCACGGTTGCTTACCTTCACAGAGTACCCAGCTACTTCTCACCACGGACCCGACATTATTACTTCGGAAAACAAGGAATCTTAGAAGATATGAATATAGGAATAGAGTTATGAGAAAATGAGGTAGGTATTGTGTGTTTGAGTACTGAGAAAAGTCTTAAGCTCAGAGAATTTTGTGGCTAAACCCTATTCAATACTTTGGGCATTTTGGTTTATTGAGAGTCGAAGGCTTGCTTGTGTTTGGTCGGTCATGTATTCTTCTTCTATAGGTGCGTCAGAACACTTCCACCCATCCCATTTTGCCATGGTAAAAGGGGGGCTTAGGCTCCAAAAACAACCCCAGAAAGGAAAAGTTGCCTTGGCAAGAAGAAGGTCCACGATACTAGGCAAGCGCGAAGGCAAGACTTGCTTGGCCTACTGCCTGGGCAGGCTGACGTCAACGGCCAATTTAAATACCAAAAAAAATTTAATAAATAAAAAAACCAAAATTTTCAGAATTTTGTTTCTTTACAAATTAAATTTTCGTATTTTGTAATAAAAAAAAGTTTTAACTATTTTGTGCAACAAAAATTGCAGAGTGAGCCTCTATACAAAGAACAAATGTTCATGAGACTCAAGGAAAGAATTACAAAGAACGCATAAAGTCTGTCTACAGTGGCTAGCCTACCTTCAATTGGTGGCTAACCAAAGAGGATGAAACTCAGACCCCGTTTGGTAAGCTAGCTTGAATTGGTTAGAATGGGTTTTGAAACATTAGATTGGGCTGGCTTGGATTTGAAGTCCAGTTCCCATTCAATTTTGCACCAAACAACAGACTGGGATTTTGAGGCTGGATAGCTCTCTCTTGTTTTGAGGCAAGAGAGAGCTGGGACTTTCGAGTTCCTTAGCCACAGGGACCAGCGGTTTCAACGTGAAGGTGGAGCTGGGCTCCGAGACAGCTGCCAGGAGGAAGGATTCCGGGCGGCGGGTGCCGTTTGGCAAGGGACCCAAGGAGGGCTGATCTGTCTTCGGCAAGGAGTGG